CCACCCAATGGTGGTCCTCCCTGAGTTTCTCAAGCATCTTATGCTGGCTGTCATTCTTTGCTGAATACAGTTTCCAAGCATGGTTGCTGACATCCCAAATGCTGATGCCCTCCCAACTGCTTTGTCTATCTTTTCACAATAACACCTGCATTACCAACTTTCTCCCACTGGTAGGTGAACTTTATGCCTTCAGACATTGTGACTGGTAAGACTGTCAGAGGGAACAAAAGGCTTCATGAAAGTGGCATTCTTACTGACAGGGAGTTTGCAATTAATCATCAGCAGATTATGCTCAACATAAGCAGCCCTGTTTATATGTATTGTGCAAGGGGCATGTTCCATTGTGGATATGACATTCCCAGTTGGCTTATCACACCTTCATGGCAGAGGGAAGATGGCATTGGAATTTCCATAACAATATGAAACTGGAACGTGCTGAGGGCTTCCAGGACCAATCCCCCTCCAACATCAGAACAGGTTCTCATGGTTGAAGCACATCATGCAGCTGTACATGCCCCTTCTCTATACAGAAAATGCACAGTTTGACCACCCATTCCTAAGCTACAGATAACTGACACTTGGAAATCAAGTGGACTCCAAGAGGCCAGTAGATGTGTAGTGCTCTGCAGGGACTGACATCAATGCCCACCTCTGCAGTCTCATCCAAGTCATTTCTCTCCAAAACTCCATTACTCATGTCCTAAGCATTGGTGCTAGTCCTTCCACATAGGTGGATGGTGTGACTTACCAATGTCTCCTGTGAGTCAAGCTATGCTGCTGAAGATGCCTTGCTGTCTTTCTCTCAAATCTTTGTTCTGGCACATACCCTAGCCAGAGGAAGCAAGCTGCTCATCCTGGATTATGGTTACTTGGTAGCAAACTCCATGCACATTCCTCCCAGCCAATGCAGCCAGTATGACCACCTCTTCCATCTAAAAATAGCTCTGCCCAGCCTTGGGGTTTCCCAATGTCTTCCAAATGAGCTTGTTGCCACTCATTAGCTTGGGCAGCTTCTTTGACAAGTGCTCTTTGACTCATCACCTTGTCTGGTTGATGAATGTGAAGTCCACTGTGGGTACAGGAGGACAATGATTGATTGGCCAAGCCAGAGAGCTCATAACATTCTCATCACCTCAACCTGGCTAGCCCAGCCTCATATATAAGCAAACCAACCCTCTATGGGGGGCCAGGGGCTCTGTAGTTCTCACTACCTTTCTAGTGATGTACCACTGCAGCTTCCCCACCCTTGGTGATAATCTTGCTCCAATACCCCTGGACTCCCCTGGCATGAAAATTCTGTTGAAAGGGTGCTGTAGGCAGCTACAAGGTATCAGTAAGTAGTGTACCAGTACAGAATGTACCTCAATTGCAGAGGGATCAGTACCAATGCTGTACTCTAAGTGCACTCTAAGAGCTTATGTAGGCAACCAAAAATGCACACCAAAATATATATTGCACTGGGCTGGTTCTATCTCCAACAAATTCAGCATTGCTTCAGCACCATCCCATACTTACCCCATACCTTCCACCTTCACTATCTAATTAGATATGCCTTTCTATAGGAATATCATCAATCTTAGACCCTCAAAGTTACAGTAGAGTGCATGAGGCCTCATGTGGTATAAGACCCTTAAGAAGATTATGATCTGTGGGTAGGCCTGGCTGTCTTTGTTGTTTTCAATGGTGGTGATTGGCAGTAGTGGAAATGTCTCATCATAGTTGTGGTAGTATAAATTGCAAAAGATTGAAGAGACCAAGAGACTACCACATCAGACATCCTGCCAGCTGGTACAAACTGAATGTGGGAAACCTTGTGTGTTGAGAGCTCACTTCATGCACTTGCGGGCTCTTGCATGTAATCATATTCTGAGTATTGCATCCAGAGTAACTTTTGATTTTTTATCAATGATTTTGATGTAAAAATACATTGTTTTGGGTCTAATTTTTCATCCAAATATATTTTGCTGTATATCACATGTTTGTTCATAAAAAAGACAGAATGTTTTTCATGTGAGGCAATGCTGACCCCAGCCCACTGCCTCACATCCTCCACCAAGATCACATTGCCATAGTGTCCTGCATGGTTCAAGAAAATTGCCAGCTGCATTGCAACTGGCCACTGATCATCAGGTGAGTTGTTTGAAAGATTGGATGGCTGCTAACACAATCCAAAATGAAGTTGAACATGTCTCAGTTGACATGCAACTTTTTGTGAAACCAATCTGGCCAGTGGTCAGCAAATGCAGGCAACAGTTGTATTTGGGGGGCATGCATCAGAGGTATGGCCAGCAAGAACAGCCCCCCATGGTACAGGCTTCATCATGAAGCACCTCAATGGCACTGAGGAGGCATTCAAATTGCATGTCCCTTTCAACAAGGGGCAAATCAGATTCAGGCACATCATCAGAATCAGGTGGGCATAGCAATGGGGGCTGGAGGGGGGGGGTAAGTACTATGGGACTCTCAACTATCTCTGAAGCTGATGGCAAGTCTTCTTTATCAGACTCTAACATGTTCTCAATTTGAGCAACAGAAATATCCAGTGATCTCAAGTTCAAGCAAAAGTTGTTCTCTTTTTGACTGGCACAGCATAACAGATCATGGAGAGATGGGATTAGAACAGGAATATGAATTCAAATGATGTATACAGCCTATCTACAGCTTTTTGTATTTCTGTATGTGCTACAGTAAGTCCTGTTTTAGAGCCATTTACCAGGAACCACAGTTGCAATACTCCAGCAGAGTTCCTGTTAGCAATGGTGAAGGCTAGGGGCATCCAAGGGGTGCCTAATTGACTCTAATAGCTTTGGGGAGCTTGGGAATGTACCAGACTAGAGTCCAGTGTGAGCAACCAAAGGTCTCAACACTTGACTCAGCTACACTAAGTGCACTTCAAGGTAAACAACAGTAAACAAAGAGTGGCTAATGCACCACAACACTAGGAATAGGCCTAGAAGGCTGGGAAAAGAAGTAGTAAGTAGCAAATGAGATGGAGAATTGAATGGAAGTAAGTAAGAGACCATTTAGAAGAGAAAAAGCGAAGATAAGAGGTGAAGATCACCACAAGGAACAGCTCCAATGCCATAGAAGTTCATACTACATTTTTTGCAAGACTGGCAAAGTTATAGCTAAGAATCAGCAGCATCATAGCCTACCATAGGCTATCACTTAAGCACTCTGAGTGCCATTATTAATAGCTAGTAAATCAAGTGAGCTATGGCCAATGGCTTGAGGCAGTTTGGCAAACCATGGCAACACTAGTTGGGCCAAAGGAAGAAAACATAAAAGGAAAAGTACAGGTGGTAGGCTGAAAGCCTAAAGAGGCAGTGACCCTGCAGTGCACCATGCAGTATGGTAGCTGTGCTGTACCTACACAGCAGAATGCCAAATTTTTCTTGAGTACATGTGCCAGAATGTATAGATTACACACTTCAGTCACCCCCTTTTGGGGACCTATTTGGTTGACATATTTCTACAGATGTTTATACCTAATAGGTGTCAACTTCTTGGGTATTCCCACATTCCACTGGGACAGACAGGCTTGGAGATTCTCCAGAAGCTGACATGCCAAAGAGGGGAAAGCCCATTTTCCCAAGGGTACCCTATTGTGACCATCAATGTAGGGGGTGTCTGGGGTCCAAGTGGGACTTTCTCCAGCATATATAGGGGCCTGAACTGTGCAATGTTTGGGCTTTCTCCAGGCCAAATAGACCTCTCACAAGAGTGGGTTGGGGGATTCCCCAGGATGAAATAGACCACTGCCAAGGTTAGTTTTGGGGATTCTCCAGGGTAAATAGACCATTTCCAAGGTGAGTTTTGGGGATTCTCCAAGGTGAATAGACCATTTCCAAGGTGGGGTGTTAGATTTCTCCAGGGTACATACCATCTGAATGGCAGACTCTGGGAAATGGGGAATCTCCAACTGCCAGAATGGGATTTCTCCATTCCTCTTATGGGGGGATGGGGAATCACCAAATGGGCAGTTGGGGATTCCCCATGTGTGATTCCCCGAATGCCACAATGGGATTTTTCCATCCCTCTTATGGGGGGATGGGGATTCTCCAATTGGTGATCTTCCATGTCCATGGACATTTCCCAAATACCAGAATAGGCTTTCTCCATCCCTGTTATGGGGGGATGCAGATTCTCCAAGGGCATGGAGTTCCCCCACATGCCTGATTGGGAATTCTCTATCCTTGTTATGTGGGGATGGGGTATCTGTATATGTAGAGTTGGTGAATCTCCAATTGAAGACTGAGAGATCCCCATAGTGGTTGAGCTTCCCATATGCCAGGACAAGAATACTCCACACCTTGTATTGGACAATGGGGCATCTCCAGCTCCCCAGTTGGAGATTCCCTATGGTGGTGGAGATTCCCCACATGTCAGGATGGGCATTCCTCCCAATGTGGAGGTCACAGCTTCCCAACACACTGCAATGTGAATTTTTCATCACTGTTCTCATCACTGTTCTGGGGGGACTCTATCCTCTGGGAGTATTCCCCAGAGTATGAGGACAGTTGTGTGAAATCTCATCTTGCTCTTCATCCTCCAACTCACCAACAATGCTTATTACCAGGTGCAATGCACAGCACAGGACCAGTCCATTCTTTTCAGGTCTGCAGGTTGTGGATATTCTCCCTATGCCAACATCAATTCCCCATCACTGTTTTAATGGAACTCCATCTACTCCACCTCAGCAACCTCACATTCCTGATTGATGATTTGAGAGATGTCATCACTCAGTCATGCCCAACCTAGTGGCAGCAGATGTCAAGGGTTTTCACCTGCTGAAGTAGAGTGAGGATGTCTGCAGGCAATCCAGCAATGCTTTGAGCTTGACCTGGTTGAGGTGTGGTCTGACTTTGCATTGTCATGTAAGGGTTTGATGCTGCAGCTGGCATTGGGGAATGTGAGGGTACAGGTTGTTGCATTAAAGATGGCATTGGTGGACAGTAGCTTGGAGGCACTGGAGGTGTGGGGTTTTGGACTGAAAATACCAGCCAGACCAGGGATCAAACCTGGATCTTCCCACTAGCACTGGGGTGCCTGAGTTACCACTAGGCTGTCTGGCTGTCCCTAACCTGCCTGGAGTGTGGATTTACATTCCAACACAGAGGGCATTCTGAGGGTGGGTTGTACTGGTGCAGACACCAGGTGAGGGGAGACTCAACAAACCCTGCATTTTGCAGTCATTCAAGAGCTGCCAGGAGTTGTTGAACTTGCCAAGCTTGCTCTAAGTGATCATCTAAGCCACCCTGTATTGATATGGAGATCATGGCCAGTGCTTGAAACCAATGACTCCTTACTGCTTGAGGGACAACCAAGTCTTGAGGGAGGAGCAAACATAAAAGAACTCAGCCTGAAATAAGTACCTGGAGTGAGGGATACAACATCTGAGTGTCACCTGAGCTTGGATAATGTCTAGCTGGGCTTCATCTCATCTAGAACTTAGGGTAATTTTGGGGTGAGGATGATGACACATCCAGTATTCACACAATTGTAGCCACCACAAGCAGACACAGGAGTGGCAATGTGCAAACAAGGGGATAGGGTATCACATTGGTAACAACTTAGCAGACAACACAGGCTATACAGAGTACTACTATGTAGAGAGAGGCATTAATAAGGGTATATGTTGCAAGGGTAGTGGTGCAGAAAAGAACCATCATACTGATAGCAGGTGGTAACATAGACTAAGGACCCAAGTATATGACACTATGAAGGGAAGTAAGTCCATCTTAGTTATGAAGAAAAGAAAGAGAAAACATACACACCATATCACCAAGAGCAGGGTATATGCAATAGGCATAGGAATGACTTACATGAATGATAGCTAGGTATAATTTGATGGGGGCAAGGGGCGAAGATGAGAGACTTCCGTGCAACACACAACACACTGCAAAGAGCAAGCGAGTCAGTTGTAGCCATGAAGGAAAAAATGAAAGAAAAATACATACCTTAATATTGGGCAGGGTGATTGTGTGCATAGTGATGGTCCTCATCACTTTCATATCCATGCCATCTCTTACAGGGATGATCTCGGTAGACATATTCCACAACACTCCATTCATACATCACTTAATTAAAAACAAAGCACAAAACTTGCAGTGACTTACCTGTGGTGGGTTCTTCCTTGCTGCAGGGGAGTATCTTCATTGGATTCTTCCCAACATTCCCTATGCCGCTTGTGTGATGGTCACCAGCCATGTGGCATAGGGGAGGGGGGGTTAGGGAGTCTTCCTCACAAACGAGAACCTGCATGGGTTGGCTGGTTACATGGACTTGGGGAGTGGGTGGGAGATCTTTCCAGCTGGCAAGACTGAGAATGTGCAGGCTGGTTATGTGAAGTCCAGGAGCAGCCAGGAGATCTGTCTTGCCAGCAAGGCTGAGTATGGGCAGGCAGGCCATGTGAAGTCAGGGAGCAGTGGCTGGGAGATATTTCATTCCTGCAAGACTGAGTACTTGTATGTTGGCACATGACAGGTAGACAGGAAACCCCATGTGAGTCTGCATGCCTTCTTGTTGGCAACCATGGCTGGAGCAGGGGAGAAGATGGGGGAAGTAGCAAAGATGGTGGCAGAGGTGAAGATGATGACAGATAAGCATCATCTGGAGAAGGAGGGTCCATGTCCTGGGGAAGGGCCTTGAGGAATGCTTGCAAGTTGGAGAGAAGGCGGAGAGGTTGGTTGTATGTGTTGATCACAAGTGGGACATCAAACATCTTCAGGTCAGCATTCCTGAAAACATCGAGCTGCCCTGGTTGATTCATAAGTGCCAATCTATGGTGACACAAAAATGAGACTACCTGTGGACCAATCCTGAAGGTAAAATGATGATCCAGGCACTGGCACCAAGTGGTCATCATCCACATCTTCATTGTCTCTGGGTACCTCAGACAAGTAGTCATCACCCATTTGTTCTTTCAAGAAGGGCGAGGTAAGGGATTGGAGCTCATCAGCATTCAGGCGCTTCACATTGAAATCAGCACCAACAGCAGGGACCCCCACAGGCCAGTCAACAAGTGTGTACTGATGAACATAAAGGAGGTCCAGCAGCATTTTCCATGGGACATTCTTCAGCCCATGGATAATACCAACTTTGTCTGTTGAACATGTTACAATACATATTAGCCATCTCAATAGAAACTTACAAAGTTTATGCAAAAAGACAAGGGGGAGTATGTGGCGACTGTGATCCCACCTGGATTCCTGCAGCCACAAAACAAGATTCTGATCATATGATGGGCATGACATGGAAGGGAAGTTTGGGAGGGGGACCTCTGCAACTGAGTCAAGTGCTTTACACCTGAAATATGGTTCAATGTGGGATGACATTGCTCAAACTAAATTGGACTCACTTGACAATGGTAGCAAGGTAGTCTATGAGTCTTGCCACATCCATCTGCCTAGTGTTGCCTCGGTTCGGTTTGGAGGCCTGAACCGTTCAGGATTGAGCAGCTTAGTCAGCGAAAACAGTACCCATGATTGTAGCCCCATATTCAAAACCACCAAATCAAAAAGAATTATATTAATACTGCCTCTCACTTGCTAACTGCATACATAACTGGGAACCAGCAAAAATACCCTGGGCCTGGCAGGCAGCTTCATCATTACTGGAATAAATAACACATCCCAAGACATGTATCCCCTCGACATTGCACCACATCTGTGCCTTTAGCAGCAGTCAATGAGAATACACTGTGGACAAGAATATGATACTTACAGCTTGTGTGTGGCAAGGGCTAAGTTGTTATCAGCACAAGAAAACATGCCTGATATGTCTCCATGGTGGACATCTCCCCACTTGCCTTCACCAAGTGCTTGATGCATGTCAGTATCATATTAACATGGAATGGAAGATATTTACCAGGTCCATCATCTGAGCTGTCTTCTGTATGGTCATCAGTTCCAGACTGACCCATAGAAGGGCCTACATAAAGAGAATAAATTTCTTAATAAGATATCAATAGTATAGGACAAAAATGAACTTACCATCAACACCAGCTCTCTCATCTGGTTGGTGCATAGTAGCAGAAGGGTGACTGGATGTGTTGTGAGAGGAGGCATTGGCTTCACTGGTATCCTGGATAGCATCTTCTACTGCTCTTTCATCATGCTTGCTGTCTGTTTGCCAAGTATCTCTGCCACATGGGTCCAAAGCCATGTTGGAAGGGGTGGCTATGTGACAACTTTGAGAAGTAAGATCAGTGATCGTAGCACAGTACTTACATTGGCCATCATGATCCTTGTCAACTATATCCTTCATGGTGATCACACTGGTGCGAAGCTGCTGGAGGGCCATGGGCCAGTTGATCCGTTTACCACTCTTCAGTGTGACAAGCCTTCTCCAGAACAAATTCAGGTATTCCTCCTCCTGATTTTTATCTGAGAGACCCTGCAAAGAACGTCATGGATGTGGCTTGGCCTTTGGAGGATCAGCTACTGTGCCAGAGTCACCACTCTGGAAGTTGAGAGTATATATATCTGTAAGTACAAAAAAAGGTGAAAAAATTGTTGGGACCCTCATATCTCTGTTCAATCTATGGTTGCTCACACTGGACTCTATCTGGTATTTTCCCAAGCTCCCTAGAGCTATAGGAGTCAATTAGGTGCCCCTTGGATGCCCCTAGCCTTCACTGTTGCTAACAGGGATAGTAAACATCTAAAGAAGATCAGGACATATTTCACAATAATAGCAATGAATACATGCAATTCAATCAGTACAGATACAGGGAGATCTGCAGACCCAGTAAAGCACTCCTCGAGGTCTTTAACCCCATTGGCACTCAATATGAGCTGGTACTGGGGTGACCTCAGTGACACAAAGTCAGCAGAGTGTGATTTGAAGCGACACAGAGTCAACTTCAAATCAGGGAGTGGCACGAAGCAACTTGTCATGGGGATTGTGATAAAAGGTTTCACAATCATCTCCTATCCAAAACCAAAATCACTGTGTTGAGCCCAGAAGAGTAGATGATAAGCAACTTACTTGCTCATTCAAAAATGGTTCCAAACACCTTCATAGCCTATGGTGTGAGCAATGCAAAACGACAATGATGACAAGGTCCCATGACTTAGGTGTGTTTGGCATGGGAATTCCCAGGAATTTTGCACATTGCAAATAACAGTACATGGATACCTACAACTTTCCCATACCAAGTCAGACTTTAACCTCTGTACTACTTCTCATATTACTGCTCTGTCATCACCTCTCCAGTTGTTGCCCAATGTCTTCCTTGCGCACTGCCCACCATCTGGTACTTGACTTCTTCAGGCCACCTGGATTCCCACCAGCCTCACTCCCTCTGAGCTGGCTTCGCGCTGCTATCTGGTTTGAAGTTGACTTTGTGTCACTTCAAAACCACACTCTGTTGACTCTGGGTCACTGAGGTTGCTTCGGCACCACCTTGCATCGAGTGCCAGTGAAGTTAAAGACCTCGAGGAGTGCACCCTGCCTTTTCTCACACTGCTTTTCTGTCTGCCCACAGGCTTTCCCCTCTGCAAAGGTCTGTTTTTGTTCATTGCAAATCCACCTTTCTAGCTCACACCCGTTGTATTTACATACCTCCACTCCTTGGTCTCGAAGACCAGATCCACTTTCCTCCAGGTTTTCCTCTCTGCTGATGTTTGTTTTGTTCATTGCAAATCCACCTTACTGGCTCACACTGTTCATATCTATATACTCTCGCTCCTTGATCTTGAAGACCAGATCCACTTTCCTCCATGACTACTGCTCTGAGTTGTTTCAAGCCTTATGCCTGCCCTGATGATGGTACGCTCTGCGGTTCATCACCTTTTTTCCAAAACTAATCAAGTCACATAGCCAACCTTACCTTGCTTGATGTGCAGGTAGTGGCATGCCAGGGCAGTTGGGTGATAACCTCACCAAACATGGACTTTGTCCCAGAGCCACATATTTTCAATGAAGAGCTTCGCCCTCGAGCCGATGGCCATTTCAGGCTAGCAGACTGCTTCCAGTGGCCACAAAGCTTCCACAAATATTACCCATACGCAGCCTGTATTCCCCGCAAGGAAAACTTCCTCTTCCCCAATCCTCTGTACATAGCACCCTC